GGAAGAGGCTGAGGGGCCTGGTGACGTGGGAATACCCGGAGCTGGGCTTTGCTCCTACACCAGGGTTGGGTAACAGAGAGACATCTCCTTGGGGAGATGTCTGTCCTTGGGGATGTCTGTGCCGGGGGTGTAAGGTCTTTATTCCTCCTTGTTGGTCTTTTATCAGAGCAAACCCGGGTGCTCGAGTGTCCCTTCCCCAGCCAGCAGGTTCTGCCCATGTCCCACAGCCGCTGTCACGGGGCTGGAGAAAACCCAGAGACCTGGGAATCCTCCATCCCAGAGAGCGGAGCCTGGGGGCACCCAAAACCTCTCTCCCCTGGGTCTGTGATGCAGCAGGCAAAGGCTACTGGTTTTACTTTTTAGGGTTGATTTCCTGAACTGCTTTATTTTGTAGCCTGCTGATTTTCTGGCACACAAAATCTTCTGTTAGAATTTTGGGGGTTTTTTTCTTTCTTTTTTTTCTTTCTTTTTTCTTTTTCTTTTTCTTTTTCTTTTTCTTTTTCTTTTTCTTTTTCTCTTTTCCTCTTTTTCTTTTCCTCTTTTTCTTTTTCCTCTTTTTCTTTTCTTCTTCTTCTTCTTCTTTTCCTTTTCTAGAAGATTCTATTATAGAAGTACCAGGATAAGATGATAAAGTTAACGAGCGGTTCCTCCTGCGTCCCCGCTGTCCCCGCTGTGCCGTCAGTCCTGCCTCTCTGTCTCCCCACACGAGCTGGATGCTGGTTTCTTGACACTTGCAGAGCAAGTGGCCACATCGTGGGTCTCCCAGACCCCCAGCTGGAGCCTGGGCACCCGGGGGGGGTCTGTGGGAGGTGCTGAGCCCCCAGGAGGGTAAAACAGGCTGGTTCCCTCGGGAGCAGCCTCACTGGGTCTGTTCCAGCAGCACCGACACCTGCAAATGACTGGGCTTTGCTGTGAAGAGAACGTTTACATAAAGGAAGGTGTTTGCTGAGATGTCGTTTTTCCTGGCGCTCGTGCAGGGAAGGGGAATGGAGGAAGGAGCTCTGAAAGGTTCATGGTCCCAAGGCTCAGAGCTCAGGCCCCCGCAGCAGATACAGCCCCCCCCTAATTTCCTTCCCTGGTGCAATTGAGTTCCTTGGGTGGCAGGATGCAATTTGTGTTGGAGTTTGGCTTCCTAGAGAAACTCTTGGCTTGTCACTCTCAAGGCACAACATGCTCCTTAAATAGCAGGCTAAATTTCTCCACCTAGCCTAAAAAAAAAAAAAAAAAAAAAAAAGTACTCCTCTGCCAAATGAAAGGACATATTCCAGTATTCTTTGTTGTTGCAACAAATTGGGTGGATACTGTCAGACTTCTGTATTCTGGGAATACTTCCAGAGCCTCTCTTTGTGTGCAAGTCGGTTACCATGTAATTGTCAACTTAAATTGCAGTGTTGGATAACTCGGCTTCGGCTCTACCATACCCTGCCCCCCCCCGCTGCGGGAGGGCAACGCGGGGGGCTCTGCTCCTTCTGCCAGCGACCGGGGGGGGCTGCGGACCCCCGGGGGTCCTGCCCGGCCGGGGAGGGGGACATTGCTGGTGGCACCTTGGCTAAAGGCATCGCTGGCCGTGGGGGAAGGAGGGGTCCCACATGGAGGGTGGTGGGGGCAGGAGGGATGGGGGGTTCCCTGCCTGCTGCCTCTTGCCCACCCCCCCCGAACCCACTCCCCTCTGCGGTGGCGCGGGGAGAAGGAGGTTGCTTTCGATGCGATGGGAATCGTCTTCGCCCTCTTCCTTCCCCTTTCGAATTGGCAGCTCGTTTTGCTGTGTTTGTTTTAGCCCGAATCCCAGTGACAATTAACGCTAGAAGGCTAGATTAAGCTGTTTTCACTTGTTTTCTTTTTCACTTTGATTTCCACCTCCTCCAAATTCTTAATCCTACTGAATATTTCATCTCTTGTAACTCCATCAATTGAGAGTCTCCCAGCGGGACGTACAGGACCAGCACTATTAGAGCTGCTTTGCTGGAGCTAATGCTCCTCAACGCCGGGCTGAGCTCGTTGCGCAATGTGTTTCAGACAAGCAAACCACAGCATCCGCTGCCGCCAGAGCCACGCGGGCCACGGGGGAGCGGGGCCGGGCTCCAACGAGAAGGTCGGTGGCTGATGAGAAAGCCCAGCGCCCCGCGTTCCCACCTCGCGCCTTCTCCACCCGTGGGCAGCTCCTGCAGGTGGGGAACCCCGGCTGTGGCCACGGGTGGGAGATCCCGCTGTAAATGTAGGAAATTTTCTGCTGGGAGGAGGTCGGTGTGGTGTGGTGTGGTGGCCACCTGGCTCCTGGCAGCCCCGGGATGAGTCAGCCAGCCCGGAGACACCCCGCACCATGTGAAAGGGGTTTGCTGGGGTGCAGAGAGGTGATGGTGGGAGATCTTGTCCATCTGCTTGCGATTACCCATCAAAAATTGTACTTCTGCCTTTTTTTTTTTTAATTGTGGCAACCCTTCCCGGGATGCCTTTGGACATGTTGCTGGGTTTTCACCCTAAACTTACACTGTTGACAGAAGAACTTTCAGAAAGGGAACTTGTTTTCCCTCCCTGTCAGAAAGGCATTTTCCAGCTTGAAGGAGCCTGGGCTGGCTCCGCATGGGGCTGCCCCTCAGGATGGACACGGTGCTGATTCTGCTGCTTCTCAGGACTGGGAACGAAAGCTGGGGAGAAGGAGTGTGCTCTCCAGCCTCAGGGCCATGCTGGGGGCTTTGCAGCTCTCTGTGTCCCCGTGCTCTCGTGGTTCTATCCCCCCGGGGTGGCTGGTGTGTGTAGCTGTGCCTTTTACCACCCAAATCACCGCTCCATGATACCCTGAACAGTCTGCAGGGCCGTTTCTCTGGGAGGAGTGTGCCTGCTCGCACGCCTGGCTGCTTCTGACATAAAGCAGGGACACGGCAGGCTCTGCCAGCAGGTCCTCTGAAGCCTTGCAAAGCCTGGGTGCTCTTCACCCGGTCCCCCTGTTCCTCCTGCAGAGCCCCCCAAAGCGCCTGCAGCCTGGATGGGAAGAGCTCTTCTTCCCCAAGCGCCAGCAGCCGGCTCCAGGAGCCTTTGCCAAGGGAGCTGGGGTGGCATATGTTCTCTCTCAGAGCAAGGTTACACTCACGGCTCATTAGAAGTGACTTTCCTCATTTTTGGGGCGCAGGCGGAGGAGCTGGGTGCCAAGCTGGCAGCGCAGGAGGGGGAGCGGGGAGGGAGCGCTGGGGGAGGCTCCGGGGCAAGTTTGCTCTTCCACTTCTGGCCTCGGCTGTTGTGTTTGGGAAGCAGCACAAACCCAGCCCCAGATGCATCCACACAGCCCCCCCGCAACCACCACGGGGCTTTTCTTCAGGGTCCAGCATCCACCCCCTCCCCGAGACCTCTCCCACCTTATTCCTGCAGACGCGGAGCACGGTGTTTGCTGGGGAGCCAGGTCCCAGGAGGGGTGGGATGGGACGGAGCAGCGGGGGGACAAAAGCCATGGGACCCCAGGGCTGTGCTCCGGGCAGCCCGGATGGCTGAGGAGCTGCATTATTCCTGGGGAATTGAGCACATTCCCAAATAATGGCTCGGGTGGTTTTGCAGGATCTGTGGCCCATACTAATGGCTCATTGCTGAACCATAAGTGGTTGTGTTATACTTGGGATTTATTGGAGGCCGAGGGATTAATTTCCTGAAATATATGGTCATGATGTTGAGGTTAAATTAAGATCTCATTCAAAAGGATTCTTTTTATTATATTTAATTTGTAACCCCTTTTCTATAGCCATTTTACAGTTACTCCTCCCCCTCCCTTAAATGTTCAGTGTCATGTTTCCAGGAAGAATCTTATTTCATGCAGACTAATAGCATTTTTCAGTATAACCTTTTACAGTTCCTCACCGTTCGAGTTACTCTAGTCTCGGTTGTTTATACACAACAAGGTCTTAAATCCTCTCTCAGAAAATAAAGATGTTGATGCAAAAGCAACAAGAGCTTCTGGCAGAGCTAAAATCCATCCGTTCCCTCCTCCTTCCCCACATGCCACCCCCTTCAATCTGCTGTAACTAAAAGCCCTTTTACTTCAGCGCTCAAGCACTTTGATAAAACGCATGTTGAGTAAATCTTACATGACATTTTTACTCTGGGTGATATGTATATAAAGTTGAGCTGGCTCAGTGCTAGCCTGGCTTCACCCTTCTTCATGATGCCATTATTAAACTGGTAAATTAACTGTGGGAACTGGTGCTAGGAGATGCTGGAGGTGAGGGGGAAGGGGATGAGGCATCAGGAAGGAGGAAGGGATGGATGTGACCACCAGCTCTGGGGCAGCCAAGGGTGGGAGTGGGGCAAAGGAGCATCATCCAGTGCTCCCTCTGCTCCTTGTACTGGCCCTGCTGCTGCCTGCCCTGGGGACGGGAGAAACAAACCCTCTGCTCTGGTTGTTTTCAACAAATTCCCCCTGCTGTGGTTGCTTCCAGCCTACAGCCAGCAAGTGTCCCTGTTCTGTGCCTGTCCTTTTGGGGACACCTGCAATGCCAGGTTCAGGGCTGGCCCCAAAAAGGCACCCTGTTTTTACCAGACCGACCCAAAAGAGAAGTTGTCCCCACGCAGCAGGAGACGTGCTGCCTGCAGGAGCTCCTTTCTAGGTCAGGATGAGGAGCTCATTGCCGCGGCTCTCCCGAGTGCCAGTGAGGGATGGGGAAAGGGCTGGCTCGCTCCACGGGGCTCCTCTTGAGAAGAGTGGCCTCAGTCCCTGGGGTCTGGGTGAGGGAGAAGGACAGGCACTGATTTTGCCCAAGAGACAGGGTAGCTCCAGAAAACAAATCCTTTAGTTCCCAGAGCTAATTTCCCACTCTGGAGGACAAACCCCCAACTTTTGTCTGAGCGTTTGAGATGTCCAACACATGGTGTACAGAACACGCGTCCCTGGTGTGGTGGGAAGGGGCCGGTGGTGGTGCTCGTGGCTGGCTGTGGCTCGTTGTACGTTGCTGCTTCACTGGTTGAGATGGAGCAGCAGGGTGTGAGATGGTCTCTGATTCCTCCCAGCACCCGGTGGAGCTCAGGCTGGACCCTGCTCCGACACTCCCGGCTCCCCTGGTCCAGGTGGCACCTTCCTGGCACCTTGAAGGTTGGGAAACAGCCGTGTCCTTCCTTTTTCCTAAATGAATTTTTCTCCCCAGGAGCCAGAGCAGTAGGTGAGTGCCCCTGCGTGCAAAGCACAGCGAAGGAGGGATGAAGCAGCAGTCTGGGAGGAAAAAGGGGGATTTTATTGAGAATGGGCCATGCTGGAGGAGGCAACCCCCAGCCCTGGGCAAGCTGGGGGCAGAGGGCTGGCCAGGCTGACCTGGGCAGCTGTGACCAAGAAGGTCATTAGGAAGGTGATTTGGGGGAAATTCTTTGGTGTGAGGGTGGTGAGAGCCTGGCCCAGGTTGCCCTGAGAAGCTGTGGCTGCCCCATCCCTGGAGGGGTTCAAGGGCAGGTTGGAGGGGGCTTGGAGCAACCTGGTCTGGTGGGAGGTGTCCCTGCCCAGGGCAGGGGGGGGCACTGGGGGGGCTTTAAGGTCCCTTCCAACCTGAACCATTCCACGATCCTATGATTCCATGACCACCCCAGAGCAGACATGCCAGGGGCAGCTTGAGCAGGGTGCAGAGCGGTAGGATCCCCCTGCAGCCCCAGCAGAGCATCCTCCTGCTGCTCCCAGTCCCCCCGAGACCCTAAAGTTTGTCCTGCAGTGCCCCTCGCCCTGGTTCAGAGCCACGCCATGCTGACGAGGGGTCCCAGAGTGGGCCCAGCATCACCCCCAGTGGGAAGCCCCACATCCCTCTGGGTGCACCAGCACCACCAGTAACCCCATTCAGCATGACATTCCCAGCCCGGTTTCCCCGAGCAGCCTGTCCGGCACTGAGCCACCTCCCCAGCCCTGGCTTCTGTCAGCTCTGTCTTCTGCGGGGATTTTCTTTCTTTTTTTTTTTTTTTTTCAGTTTTTTTTTTTTTTTTCTCTCCCCCTCCAGAAGTGCTGATGGACAAGTTGAGTAACCGTATCTGCTTGTTACAGGACATCTTGAGGCTGATTGCGGAGGTCAGGACTCAACTGGAAAGACCGCAGCGGGTTGCTGACTGGCATCCACGGTCCAGATAAGATAAAAACAACTGATGACAGCAGGGAAGTGAAACAGTCATCTCAGCACTTGGATTAGTGCCCGGCAAAGAGGAAGGGAAAAAAAAAAAACAAACCCGAGGAGGGCCGGTGGGGAGGGGAAGGGGGTGGAATATGTATTAGAATAGAAACTCTGGAAAAAGCTATCAGGAGGCAGCAGATTTGGGTGTTAAATATTTATGAATTAGCGGCACTTGTCGCGTTCTCGCTGAGCGGCGAGGTTTGCAGGACGGGGCGCCCGTGTGGCTGCGAACACGCCGTCACCGTCACCGTCACTGTGCCACCATCACCATCACCGTGCCACCACGGCAAACCCTGGCGGTGGGAAGGACAGAGGGACAGAGGGACGGTGGGATGGGAGGGAAGGTGACCAGCTCTGGCAGCTCCAGCGCTGCCGAGACCGGCCGTGGCTCAGGATAAATCCAGCTGAAGAGGTGGAAGGATAAATGAGGTGCCATAAAAGTGACAATTATTATTCAGAAAATTCTGCTGAAGAGCACTGGAGTAATTAAATCATAATTGCTTATTACTCAGCTGAAGTGACATTGTAAGTGGCTGAAGGTCTGTGACGAGGAGAGGGAAGGGGGGGTCTCGGCTTTTCTGCTGTGCTTTGTCTTCGCCTCCGTCCTGCTGTGGATTTGTGCACCCCCCACGGCAGCTGAGAGAAACCCCGGCCCTCAGTGAAGGTCGAAAGTCCCCCCTGAGCCCATAAAGCCCATTTTCAGCCCATTTTCACCCCATGAGCTCAGCGTTATCGGCTGCTGCAGGACAGGGAGCCGGGGGCAGCTTTGCCTCCCAGGGCAAGAGGTGCCCGAGCGCCGGTGAACTTGCCCAGCCCAGGTTGGCCATTTACTCCTGGGCTGGAGGACCTTTGGGTTGGGCTGATCTGCTAAACTCTGAGAGCTTTACAGGAGCCGTTCCCCACCGCGAGACAAAGAGCCTGCAAATCCTGTAAGCGCTTAATTACGCAGCGATGTTTATGGAACGTTTTAAAGGGCTCCTGTAATTTGGCAGCACGGAGGAGATGTGGAGTCGAGGTTTGGAAGCGTGAGCTTTCCCAGCACGTCACACCACGGTGGGCTTTCCCTTCGCCAGCCAGGTTGGGATGATAAACTGCATTTTCAGCTTTAGGTAACATGTTCTGAATAGTGGTGGAGTTTTTCTTCCCAAGTGGCTCTGTGTTTCACGTTCTGAAATATTCTGAAACGAGGTCACCTGGCACTTAAGGACAGCTGAGCATCTCTTATTTATATTTTTTTTTCACCCCTTTTTGCTGTTTGGCAGGCAGGGAGAGCTGCCCGTACCTTCCCACCCACCCTTCCCATGGGAGCATCCGCGCCGGAGAGCGAAGGACCAAACCGTGGTGGCACCTCCCTGCGATGCTCAGGTCTGTGCTCTCCTCCCATCGCACCCCAGGGGAGCTCTCGGGGTGGGAAGGGAGAAGAGGAAAAGGGCCCATCACTCTTCCTGGCTGCTTGACTTTGTTCTGCTCCAGTTCCAGCTGGCAGAACAAGGTCCGCGGCTCAGCAATGAGAATTGGGCAGGTTTTGCTGGGGAAAAGTGCTAGAAATGATGGAAAAGAGCATCCCTTGTGCGGCGGTCTCGAGGATCACCCCGTGCTCACCGCACCACGTGCTCACGGGAAGCGCCAGCCTCCAGCCCTTCGAGGAGCAGAGGAGCTGGTTGTCTTTCCACCTGGCGTATTTATTTTTATTATATTATTATATTTTTTTTTTTTTCCAAATAGCTGTAAAATGAGTCACCTGGCACGGCAGCAGAACGCAGCCCACCAGCGAGGAGAGCGCTGAGGAGCTGCCAGGGAATCTGCTGCCAATAAACCACTCGTGGCTTCAGACGGGCTCTTGTTTCGGGGCTGGCCGGAGCCAGCTGGGAGCCGAGCCCGCGGCACGGTGCCAGCACCGACCCCTTCGCCGGGACCCGCCGCGGCCGCCCTGGCCGCTGCCAGCCCCTGTTTTGTCTAATTACACCGGGCTAATGAGGAGAGCACAAAAGCCGGCGGCTCCCGCGGCCCCTCTCTTTGGGCAGAGCCTGGGAGACACCAGGCAACTTGTGCTCCTCTAAAAAGAAATAGGATTATTTTTCCCCCCCTCTTGCAGCAAATCTGCAAATCATTTAGCATCCCTAAATGAGAATCATCTGTGGGTTCCTTCCCATCCTGGTGCATAAACCCAAAGCTTCACCCCATTCCCTGGCTCCGGGGACCATACAGGTGAGGGGGTGCAGCTGGGGCTCAGCATCACCCCAGGGGTGTCGGGGTGCAGGGACCCCTCTGCCCGGAGCAGGCGACTGCCCCAGCTCTAACCCACAGCCTTGGCAGGGGTTAAACAGCCTGAGGAGAGAGGGAAGGGCCCTGGTGATGCAAACAATAAAAAGTCTCCACATTCCACTGAAGTTTCTTGAGCAACTGGCATTTGCCCATAAATGTACTTAAGCAGAAAATCACCAGAAAAGTGCTATAATCTGACAGATTTTTCACAGGCTTAAATATTCATGAATTAAAAGAATTGGCAGAATTTTCTACATTATTAGCTTTCATCATGGCTACAGGAGCAGTTGGTGCACTGGCTGCTCTTCAAAAACTATTAATCTAGTCTGTCATCACAGCAGCCATTTTTTAATTAGCTACTTTACTGAACGATCTGGTGCAGTAGTGAGACTGGAACATTTAAATGGTATTAAAGTTTTAAAGGTGCCCCTTTCCATTTCCAGTCTAAGTTCTGAGACGCCGCAATAGGGAAACAAATGTGGCAGCAGGTTGCTTCCTTTCAACGGTTAAATTCTTACTTTATTTTGGAAAAAATCGAGTCTTGGAAAACCAAGCAGCTTCTACCAGGAGGAGAAATTGCTAGAAATAAATTGTTCTTTAATCCCAAGTTTGCAACATTCCTGCCCGGTGAAATCAAACCGAGATGTTTGTGGCCGAAACACCGCCCGGGTGCTGCAGAGGCGGGAGCAGGGCACGGAAACACGGGTTTGTGGAGTTTGGTTTGGGTCCCAGGGTACCACGGCCCTCGGGTGAATCCTCCTCCCGACCACGTGGGACCTGCTGCTGCATCCCACCGGGGCTCCGTGCTCCTGCCTGGAGCATCTCCTGGGCAGGCAGAGCACGGGGGTCCCGGTGCCACATCGGCTCTTGCCACAACATTAATGTGAGGTTTTTTCCCTTCTGCAGGCGTTGTTAAGTGTTTGCGGTACGTAACCCAAAGCTCTGGTGGGTTTGAAGTGGCTCTTTCCTAAAAAGAAGGGCTGTGGATGAGCGTGTGTGGGCTGCTCCTGCATCCATGCAGAGTGCTCCTATATCCGTGCAGGTGGCTCCCACATCCTTAGAGGCTGCTCCTACATCCATGCAGGTGGCTCCTGCATCCTTGCAGGTGGGTCCTCATCCATGCAGAGTGCACCTGCATCCATGCAGGCTGCTCCCATATCCGTGTGTGCTGCTCCCGCATCCTTACAGGCTCTTCCTGTGTCCCTGCAGGCTGCTCCCCGTGCACTTAGAGGCTGCTCCTACATCCATGCAGGTGGCTCCTGCATCCTTGCAGAGTGCTCCTGCATCCTTGCAGGTGGGTCCTCATCCATGCAGAGTGCTCCTGCATCCATGCAGGCTGCTCCCACATCTGTGTGTGCTGCTCCCGCATCCTTACAGGCTGTTCCTGCATCCCTGCAGGCCATTCCTGCATCCTTACAGGCTGTTCCTGTGTCCCTGTGGGCTGTTCCCCTTGTAGGCTGCCATGGAAGTGCATCTTTGGCCCCAGACGGAGAGCGTGGACAGGCTGGGTGGACCATTTTCATGCTGGCAGCATGACATCTCTCTGCGCCCCGTGGCCTGCCTTGGCCTTGGCTGCTGGGCGAGCTGGATTTCTAACTGGCTTTGTATTTTGGATTCACCAGCCCCCGAGTCACTGCACGGGTCAGCTCTGGCCGGCTCCTGGGGCGCACACCCCGGGGTTGGGTCTGGACACTGAAAAGCCCAGCTGGAAACATCTCCTGGCCCAGGAGGTGTCACAGCTCTGGGGTGTAGCAGGAGGTGTGCTCTCTGGCCCGGAGGATGGGACAAACCCCTCTGTCCCCAGCCCCAGTCCCCTGCCAGAGCCACCCAACCACATATCCTGGGGGTGCTGGGGCTGTCCCAGAGGGGATGCACCTTTCCCAAGGAGCAGAGCTGGATCCATGGCCCCAGGGCAGCCCCGGGCAGCGAGGGCCTGGCTCCAGACCCGGAGCACGATGGGCTACATGCTAAATCTGAGCTTTTCTCTAACTAAACTTTATCAACCATGCGCTTGGCTCAGCCCGGTTTGAACCCTGCTTTGCTCCCGGTGCCAGAGATGCTGCTCTCCTGGCTTATTATTTGCATGTGAAAACACAGCAAAATTATGTCTTTATGGTGGTTTTAAATGTGCCTTTTTTTTTTTTTTTTGGCATCCTTGGCTATGTCTCCGATCTCTGCTGCTCATTATTGCCAGAGCTTTAGTTTGTGCATTACAGTCACTACAGTGCCAGTGTCCTGCTGACTGGGGAAGGGAACCGCTGTATGTTTAAGATTTTTTTCCCCATTGTCATGTAAAGCAGAGAAATTGGCAGCTGAAGTGCCAGTGCTGCAGCTATAACCTTCCAAAAAGTTGCTCTTTGTAAGTCCTTCTGCCATGAGAAGTCATTTTAAAGGAGGTTTTTCTTTTACTTGACTTGTACTCACCGTGTGAGAGGAGGGAGGCAGGCGCTGGCAGGTGACTGAAGGCTCCATGTGAACAGTGAGTGCTGCGACAGGAACACACACAACACACAAACCCCTGCCCGTTTTCCCTCTGTTCACAGCTCCAGCTGAAAAACTGCCTGGTTGCATTTAGCCTGGAGAGCACTGAGGGTTTGGTTTTGGTTTTTTTTTGTTGTTTTCATGATATGGAATAGGAAAAGCCTAAAACTCAGAGGGCTCAGGGGGATTTTAATGCTTTCTGGGAAACAATTTTGTTTTTAAGGTGTGGACGTTTGCACGGGTGAAGCCTGTTGGTCGTGAGCGTGATCCCCTGTGAAGCTCAGACTCTTCATGGAGACCCTGATTCTCAGGAAAAGGATGAAAAAGTCCCACTTTGCTTTGTAGCTTCAAGGGAGGAAGGACGGGGGAACGTTCCCAGAAGACCTTTTATTCACAGTGAGTGACTTCTCTTGGAGTTTTCTTAGTTTGGTTTGGTTTGTGGTTTTGTTTTGTCCATCACAAATAAGTTCTCCGCCTGTTGTTGTCTTATGGGTTGGAAAAGTGGATCCCAGTGGGGTGTGTGAGGGATGTGGCAGGCAAATCCCAGTGGAAGGGGCTGAGGATGATGATGCAGCTCCTGGGGCTGCACTGCCAGTGCCGGGGTGGGATCAGCTCTGCCACCCCCTACACAGAGGGAATGGGCTGCATCTCCTGCACCTCCAGCCTCTCCAGCCTGATTCCTTAACACTGGGGATGGCGTGTGGAATGAGCTGGAAGGATGCGAGTCACTCCTTTAATGTCCAGGCTGCTGCTGTGGTTTCCGTTGAGCACCAGGCAAAGGTTTGAGGTGGTCAGACCTGGTGTGTATAACCCTGAGCTCCTTTTCCTCACGGCAGGTGCCTCTGGCTGCTCCCACCACCAGTTACCCCCAGCCAGAGTGGCCAGTGGCCCTGGGGCTGCCCAGCCCCACAGCCGCCGTGCCCTCCCGGAGGTGCTGAGCAGCCTTTATAAATATATATATTTACATATTCATGTTTATTTATATAAAGCGCCTATCACCGTATTGATAAACATTCTTTGGAACCACTCTGATGGCAGAGGTAAGAACAGGAGTCAGCCTGTTGGTACCTTTGGTACCTCAGCGCTTCTGTTTCCAACCAATTATTAAAAAAAAAAGAAAAAAAAAAAAAAGCCTCGCTCCAGGATGTCCCTCCAAGCAGCGAGTCAAGGGGTTTAAAACTGCGGGGCTGGAAAAGAATGGGAACAACCTGCTGCTCTTCCCCTGCAGCACTGCGCTTCATGCACTGCCCGGGCTTGAGACAGAACGTTACAGCTGGGGCACTAACGAGCCGATTCTCTCATTAGTGTGATTGCAGTGAGGGTTTGTGTCACCTGGTCCTGCCTTTTGCCGCCCAGCAGCAGGATCTCGCAGATTTGCTGTTTCACCGCTGCTTGGTTTGGGGGCTGGATGCGAGAGAGACATTGGGATGGACATCAGGGCGTCCAAATTCATACCCCCAGCTCCGGCTGTGATTTATCCCCCGCCTCGGGCACTTACAGAGAGTCCCTCTCTCCTCATCCACCCCCGGAGAATCCAGCCCTGCTCATCCCGCAAAGCACCGGGAGCAGGGAGGGAGGTGGGGACAAGCAGGAATCGCTGTGTCAAAGCTCGTCACTCTTACTGTGGTTAATAATTAGGACTTTTTCTTTTCTTTCTTTTTTTTTTTTTTAATTGTGCTTCAGCATTTTTAATATGTAGTCACTTAAATGAGGCACACGCCCTTCTGGGCAATTATTTGTAATTGTTCCCTGTGAGTTCTTGAACAAAACACTCTTTATTAGTACTCAAAGCTTCCCAAAGCATTTCAGATCTGCTAGAGATACTTTATTCAGCAGGCTGCACCACACGCTAGCCCATTAATTAAATTTGCTAGATAGGATAATTTATTAGAAGAATATACTCAATATGTTCTTTAAAATGTAGGGTTGGCCCGTGCTTTCTGTTGTGTAATACCCAGCTCTGCTGTTTGCTGTTTACGTTTGGGGATTAAAATGAGTCTTTGCATTTAGATTCAAATGAACATCTGAACAAAATGATGGGGTTTGTGGCAGATGACCCTGCTGAAACCCTACCGGCCTGCCGTGGGGCTTTGCAGAGCCTGAGGTCTCTGGGAAGGAGGAAGGTGCTGCTGAAGGATGTGAGAGCGATGGGGAATGGTGGGAATGTTGGGGCTGGGCTGGGGTTTGGAGGAAAAGCCTCTGCTCGGACGGTGGACGGGAGGGCAGCCCCACAGCCAGGCTTTGATTTACACACCGTGCACTTTCTGTGCTCCAGAGCCCCTCGGAATGCAGTCCTGGATGATACTGTAGGGCCCAAAAGGAACTTGCACATCTATTAAAAAAGGGGGGGAAAAAAATCAGCTTTATTTTCTGTGTTTGAACAATGAAGCCATATGTGTTTCTTCTCATTAAACCCAATTTTTTTTTTTTTTTTAAGGAACTCCGCCGCAGAAACAAGCATGGAAGCCGACATAATTAAAGGCTTCTTTTTCCCCAGCCGTGGTCCTCTGGTCTTTGAAGAGCTCGGGAATCCCTGAGGAATGCTCTGAACTCTGCAATATTTTGATAGCTGCAATAACATAATCAAAAGATGCTTTCATGAAGAGAGCACCTTGTGTGAATTGAGGCTGCCCCCTCTCCCCCCGCCGATCGCCGCTTTAATGGGGTCCAGAGCTCCGGCGCAGATGGGTAAGTCGTATTTTCTGCCTGTGCTTCTCCAGGGAGGCTGCCTCGCACCTTTCTGGAGTGCTTTTTTGGGAAAGAGCCGGAGCGTTTTCCTGCGTCCCCCCTCGGCTGGGAGCCCGGCTGGCAGCCGGGGGGTGACGGGGGGAGCGGGGGCTGAGCCCACCCTCCCCAGCCTGAGCTCTGCTGCCCTTCAAATTACCGCACACAGCAATCCTCTTCTGCTTGAGAGCCCGCCAGGTTGTTATTCATCCTGAAATCCTCATTAAAACCCTTTAATTTCTCCCTTTCGTTAGCTAACTGGCTCATCTGTTTGCACGAATCCTTCTCGCTGGGCCCAAGCCATTGAAATCCTGATTTTTTTCTTTCTTCCCCCTGGTTGTCTCCTGGAGCTGCAGCCCCATGCGTGTCCGCTCCACCTGAGTTTTGGCAGCGGGGGCTGTTTGGAACGAGGAAATTGGGGCATTTCTTTAATCATTAAGCTGGAATCATTAAGCTTTAATCAGGCCAAATTAGGGTTTCGGATCCCGCCGCCTCGCACCAGTCGCTAATTGTATGAATCCAGTCACTCTTGAAGCAGAGCTGTCCCGGGGTCTGTCCTCCCCGGACAGAGGGCAGTGGGCACGGTGCCACTGATGTCCCCCCGTGCCAGGACCCCATGGCCCTGGTGGCTGCGATGCTTTTGAGCCTTCTGGCCACTGCCAGCATGTCCCTGGGGGGAAACAGGGTTGGTCCATGGGGACCAGCCCCCCCCCCCAGGGCATCGGGACGGTGCCAGG